ACAGTGACAGACGTAGATAGAGGTGTACCATTACAGAACTGCTAGTTACAGATGAAAAACCCCATGCCATTTTGCCTATAAAATCACCTCTTTCAATAGCATGAGTAAACTACTGTGTGTCGCATATACAATGCAGTTAAATTGTTGACTCTCCATGATAGACCAAAGGGTGCTCACTGAACTATTCTTTCAGTGTTTTTGTAAATTTGAAACTTCTCATGATAAGAAGTCAAAGAGAGCTCAGATTCCAATATACATTGCCAGCCCCCATCTCAACACATTTAGAGCACACACAAGTGTGAGCCAATTTCTTGGTGCTCACATTTGTTCAATATTTTGAGCGTCTTTTTTATGGTGAAAGTTCCATCTTTTCCTTGGGGTTGTGTATCTGGGGGCATCATTATCACCAAACAGCCTTGTTGTTCTTCAATAACTTTTTAAATAAAATAAACACTTATTGTAGCACATTGTGGTCAATGGTACGTGTGGTCTTTCTAGAGCCAAGGGGCTTTCTATTGACTCATCTTTGGTCCAGGCCTATGCACACTGAGTTGCTGTCCAAAGGCAATGAGGAACTCGTTATTTATCAAACAAACACTTACTAATCATAGCACTGGACGTAGATAGAGAAATAGCAGAGCACCTATCCTTGTGGGCCCTGTATAGGGTTTCCGAGGAGCAGCTGGTGAGCTTGAACCGCCAACCTTGCCGTTCAAATGGCTTTGCAGTCTGGCGCATTAACCAAAGTGTCACCAGGCAATTATGTATGACAGAGTAAAAAACATCACAGGTGCTAAGGTGCAGCTACTGCTCTCTCCACGTGCACAAGAAAGAAGAGTGATGAGGACTGAAGATGCTTAGAATCAATGAGTGGCCTAATGAACCATGTGACCATCAGTGTCCAACACCCTGAGACCAGAAGAGCTGCATGGTTCCCAGCTACCACTACCAACTGCTCTGAAAGGAATCACATTAGAAGGTCCTGGAGAGAACGGGAGACTGTGGAACAAAAGTCAAAATTATAAAAAACAAACTGTGCTGACTGGTCAGAAAGAGACTGGAGGAACCTGAGCCTGTGGTCCTCAATCTCCCTTCAGGTCTGGAAGGGAACTCATCTTCATGGACCAAGTTCCAACCAAGTGGTGGATAAGTATATAGGGGGGACAAGGGCACTGGTACGATAAGCTCACCATGGAATTGTCAACCACTGATGATTTAAAAGGGCAACATTTACCTGGTGACAAGGCTCAGAGGGGGTGGGGAGGAGGGTGGAATGGGAATAGGAAGTACAGGGAGGAAGTGGGGTACATGTTGTTCTATGGAGGGGATCGCAATCATTAGGATGAAACAAAGTGTGTGATTTGTTGGATGTAAAACTGAC